TTTTTTGGGAATTTGGTGTCCTAATTTGAGGACCCCCCGCCGGGCCCCTGGTTGGCCTATAAGGTCCAAATTCAAAACCTAAACTAGACAACACCTCCTCTTTGTGCATACCAAATTTCATTAAAATCGGATTAACCGTTTAGAAGTTACCGAATTATTTCCCTTTTTTTTTTTCCTATACCACTGTGCACTGTATATTTAAAAATTTTTAATATTAGACCTTGAAACATAAAATTAAACATGCAGCCCTGAGTGAATGAGAATTTATAATATGAGACTTTTGGTTACTTTTTCGATCTTTTACAGGTATTAATTAAACGTTTAATAAGAATGTACAACATGGAACGATAAAGTGTTCTTCAAAAGGTAATTTTTGAATTTTCTATAATATTGAACCTAGAAACATGAAATTGAACATGAAGGGTCCTTAATTGGACTTAGAGGCATAAAATTAAACACGCAGGGTTCCAGTTGAATGGAAATCTCACAAAGGGAATATTTTTTACTTTTTCGTTCCTCAGCCGGTAATTTTGGAGAATTTTAAAGTAATTATTCCCAAAAATATTAAATAAACATTAAAGGTCCTTTTTGGATTATCAATAATATTGGTCTAGAAACATCAAATTTAGCATGCAGGGTTCCGAATGAAAGGAAATGTGTATGAAGGTACTTTGGTACTTTTTATACTTTAACTGGTACTTTCTGAATTTTCTATAATATCTCTTCTTGAGATTTCTACAATATAATAAACGGTCCTAAGTGAATTAAAACCTTCATATACTTTTTTCTCAATGGTACTCTTTAAATTTTCTTTTACATTAAATCTAGAAACAAAAAACGAAAGATCGATAAGTAAAAATCCATAAGGAACTCAATGGTACATTTTCAATTTTCTATAAAAATAATTATATGTGCATGCAGTGATTAAAGTATTTGTACCCTACACCACTTTAGTGGGTAGGGTATATTGGGTTTGTGCTGATGTTTGTAACGCACAATAATATCGGTCCTATACCCACCTTAAAGTATACCAATCGGCTTAGAATCATTTTCTAAGCCAAGTCGATTTAGTACATTTGGTACATTATCTTCTATTGTCCCAGGGACGAAGCCTATTGAAAATGGTTAAGATCGGTCCATTATTTCACCTAGCCCCCATACAAATGAACCCGTCAATTAGGGCTTTTAAGTTCATAATTATGTTTAATATACTCGTATCTCGACAAAAAGCTGCAAAACCAAGTTATTTACTAGCCTTGATGACCCTGATGAATTTTATAATTATAGGGCCTCATTTGACCCTAGTCCCTATACAAAGGCCCCTTCAAAATATCACTTAACAATAAATGGCTTAAGTATATCTGAGGCTAGGTACAATTCAACTTAAATGCATTATTATTAACTAAATCACATTTTATTTTTATAACAGGTGTAGGGTATGATATGGTCGGCCTCGCCCGACTATAATTTCTTACTTGTTTTTTGTTAAAAACATTTTGGATCTTAAATTAAAATATTATTTATTGTTATGCTGTTAAGTAGAGCTTTAAAATAAAAACAATTTTTTTAGACCAAAAATGTACCTTTTTTAGTCAATATTATCCATGAGAGCGAAATTTTGTAAGTGTCAAAATACGTCCACAATTTAATTACAAAAGTTTTTAATAAAAGTTTCCAAAAAAGGTTCCCGAGGCAAGGTATATTTATTTGGCTCCGTACTCAAAAAAAGTGGTCTCAGTAATAAAAAACTAGCAAATATTTCTACACAAAAAATTTCAATTTCAATATACATATTTTGTTCAATAATACAGTCAAATATAGAAATCTTTCACTATACAAAAATAACAATTTAGTTAGTTGTATGATAGAAACAATATAATTTGTTTTTATACATATATCGTCACATAAAACGCAAAAATCGCTATTTAACATTTTTTAAATTCTACAGGAGAAGCAAATAACTATTTAAAATGGAAAGTATAGTTTCAATCAGCTCGATTTGTTTTTCTTCAAAAGACATTTTTTTAACGGTAAATCTCTCAGTTATTTTACAATTGTATTTACAAATGATTAGTTACGTCTTTTAGCCTTTATATAAAACTGCTTTTGAAGATAGGGTCCTTTGTTTTTCATCAATAAAATCGCTAATTTTGACCAGCTGAGTCTAAATTTTTTTTGAACATTTGGCTTGATGTAATACATCAGAAAATGAAAATGTCGATTTTGAATTTTTTTTTAGTTAGGGCCGTTTTAGTTTTAAGTATGTATTTTTTACGGGGGCATAGCCACAAGGTTGCACGTAGCTCTGTCCTGTTAATCCAAAATCTCGGATGTTGATGAAAATGAATTTATTTAAATTAGAATAATGAAGTGATAAAAATAAGTTTAATCAATTGTATGATATTTTAAGGATACAATCCAAAATCCAAAATCTCGGATGTTGATGAAAATGAATTTATTGAAATTAGAATAATGAAGTGATAAAAATAAGTTTAATCAATTGTATGATATTTTGAGGATACAAAACTTCAGTAATTACATATGTGAAAATTATTTACATATGTATATCCCATATTAATTAAAAAATCGTTTAATGTGTTGTTTTCAAAATTTAATTAATACCAAAAAATTATCGCTAACGAAGTAGCGGGCAGCAAGATAGTTTTATATAATTTTAGAAAAAAAATGTTTATTTTAGATTTTTTTAAATTGTATATTTATAAATTAAATATACAATTAATTTCTTACTTTATGGTTAATAAGAAATCTTAACTAAATCCAGTCAGAGCACTATTTTGACTTTGCCGAAACTTAAATACGTTTCACCTATAAGCTAGTTTATTATTAGCAAGTCAAATATTTATAGAAGTTTACACTTTATTAATTTTTAAAGCTTTAATAATAACCAAATAATGGACCGATCCGGAAAAATCACAAGAATGATTTGTAAATATACAAAACATTTTATGGTTAAGTGATTTTTGAAAGTGGACTTTATATTGGAAATATGGGCATATGTGGACTGAGAACAAATTCATGTTAACTTTTGTCCCAATATGAATATTTATTAATGAATTATGATAACAAAAAATACCACAGGCCAACGATATGGAAATAAAAAGTCGTATCACCCACCAATTTTTCACATTTTCATATTTTAGCCCTTCTGACTGCATACTTGTGTCCCAAATATAAAATTCTGTAATTTTACAGAAGTTGCGAATAGGGACCGTCTCTTGCTCTAGACGGTTGTATTCTGAAAAAAATTAGCGCGATAGGACCACGTTAACTGGTGGCACCGTGGCTCTGAAAGAGAAAACGATTTTTACAAAAATGTTGGCACTAAATTTATCTTTTGGATTTTAACTGCAAATAATTGGAATATATATTCAATTATCGTTCAACAAGATATAAAGCACAGAAATCGGTCAAAAACTGTAAAATTTATTACAAATTCTTCAGATCATTTAGTGCAAGGCTCATTTAATAAACCTTGATTTAGTGTGACAAAACACTTGAATGAGAAATATTTAAAAAAATTGAACACATTTTGGGAAATATTCTAATAAAACTATGTCATTACATTAAACACATTCTTATTTATTTAAATATGAATTTGTATATTCTTTAGTTAACGTTAACCGTATTTTTGGGTATAGTCATAAGGAAACTCTTGAGACGGCAGTTTTTAAAACTCCAATTTTAAACTTTTAAACATTTTGTAAAGCAAATTTTAAAATTTTGAGAAAATCTCTATGTGACTTGTGGACAATAAAGAAGGTAATAAAATCGTATAGAAATTGGGTCTAGATCTCTTATATATTAGCGGTACTTCCGATTTGAATTCCAAATATTTCGCACAAAATTTCTTGTTAACATTTTTGAAAAACAGGCTTTATTATTTACTGTTATCCATTTAATCTAAACTTTTTCGGAATATACAATTCAAGATAACAGGAAATATACATCTGTAGTTTTAGTAAAATGGAATAATGTTAACTCATAAACTGTGAAGGTCAAACTCAAGCATGCAATTTTGGGAAATTTTCTTGAAACCATAGTGAAATGTTATTTTCTTTTCAACCGATTAAAATGAAACTTAGGAAAAATATTTAATGGAGGCTCTTATTTATTATGACATCGAAATAACCCTTAAACATAAACATATTTTTATAATTAAATAAATAATAAAATGTCCCTAATATATGAACAAAATATTCAATGGCATTTTGCGAGAAAATGGTGGGTGATAGAAAAAAACAGATATCAGATTCGGTTTTAGCAGCTAAAAATACATTAAAGTCAGTCGAATTGGTACTAACATTTTTTGCAAACCTTCATTCCATTGGCCTGTGAAATTATGTTAATTTGTAAAACTACGAAAAATTATTTTGTGTACACTTTTAATGTCAATATATATTTTAGACTTACCTTACCACTAATTGTACTGCACTATTTTTAAAAGCTTCTGAGTCACTCAAAAACCCCAAAGGAGCGGTGACTTTACCCATTAGCAAACGGTCAGGCAAAATCCATGGTATTGTAAATAGTTACTGGAATCAAACGAGCTGCATATTTTGTAAGCCAATCAACTATATAAAAATCTTGTCTTCTATTGGTAAAATATCTTATTCATCCACTAATAACGCTGTAGTTACTTTCCTATGCGAAACGCTTTTCCAACAATGTATGTGCATGTTCCCAAGACAATGTTTTGCCAATTGTCTATATACATATATGAACATTTTTTCTCCACAATACTTGATAACTGAATGCTTCTTTTCGGAGTATCTTCGGCTGTTTTATATAACTTTATAAGTATTCAACACATCTCTTACATACTCATTTTTCACCTTTCTGTTTTTAATATACTTTTCCAGCGATTCGAGGGAGTACTTTCAGATGATTCCTTATTTTTTTTTTCGTTGGAGTATGATAAACATCGTTTTGGTTACGCACTACATCCTTAGCAGAAGAAATATATCGTTCATGATGTGCCATAGCCAGTAGATCTTCGTCCAAGGAAGCAAGGAACGACATCTTTAAAATTAAATTAGAAATTAGCATGATTTGAAGAATATGTAGCAATAAATAATAAATTTAATTACCTTTCGGACAATCTCAGTTTGATTTTCATCTCTGTTGTGGATCCAGGCTACCTTTAACAAGTAGATAGTTGAGACAATTCGAATCTGTAGTGGCATCAGCACCCCCTTTGTCTAAACTAAAATTTATTTTGGCAACTGCTGCTCTTGATCGTGTTGTTACTTAAACATTTTGTACTGCCAATGGCAAAACATGCAAATAATTTGCAGAGAGTTCATCTCTTTTTCTGCGACAGATTACAATTGTTATGAGGAATACTTTGTTTTCGGCATTTAAGTAATTTAATTTTATAAATTCCACAGTATTTTCAGTGCTTAAAGATGCCCTATGCTTGAGAGAATACGAATTTCGACTAGCCACTTCTGATGGACGTCTACTTTTTTCTATTATGGATTATTCCATGGCAGAATAATGATGCCCTTTGCTTGGTAGATTACGAATTTCGACTAGTCACTACCGATGGGCGTCAACTTTTTTCTATTATGGATTAGTTCCATGGCAGAATAATTTGTCCAGTTTGTTTTTTCAGCTTTAGCTGTCGTTTTCAAAACAATAACAAAAAGCCATCACTATACCCCCAAAGGTAGGTAAATAAGAAGGAATATTTTGGAAGTCAACAAGTATTTATCCTCTAATGTTTACATTTAACACAATCATTTAAAATAAAACTAAACATCTCTAGCATGATGTAATAACTTAGTGCATCCTGATCTCTAGTATATTTTCCCAAATAAAAGGTTTTTGAAAATACATATGATTATTACTTACAGAATATCAAGAAGATCTACATATGTCACATTTAAAGCAAAAAATGCAACTTTAACAGTCCTTTAGCCCATTCCGCAAGAGCAACGCCATGTAGATAATCCGGATTAAATGAATACGAGATGACAAAAGTTAATTTATTTTCAATAGCAGTTGGCGGTAACATGGCAGCCAGCAGTTCGCAGCGGGAAAAAGTGGCAGTAAAGAGGCCTTCCTAAAGGCATTATACACTAGTTCCATGAAAAGTATACTAGTTCCGAAACAACTTCTTAGAATCAGTTTAAAAAAATGTCAAAAAGTTAAAAATTCATAAACTTATTTTTATCGAAATTGAAATCGCATTCATATGTATGTATGTATATTTCTGCATACAACAAATTTATAAGGAACTAGCTTGCTGCCCGCTACTTCGTTAGCGATAAATTTTTGGCATTAATTAAATTTTGAAAACAACACATTAAACGATTTTTTAATTAATATGGGATATACATATGTAAATAATTTTCACATACATATGTAGGTTTTTAGCAAATTTTTTATTCTCAAAATATCATACAATTGATTAAACTTATTGTTATCACTTCATATCACCATTTAACTCTAATTTAAATAAATTAATTTTCATCAACATCCGAGATTTTGGATTAACAGGACAGAGCTACGTGCAACTTTGTGGCTTTGCCTCCGTAAAAAATACATACCTAAAACTAAAACGGCCCTAACAAAAAAAAAAATTCAAAATCGACAGTTTTATTTTCTGATGTATTGCATCAAACCAAATGTTCAAAAAAAATTTAGACTCCGCTGGTCAAAATTAGCGATTTTATTGACGAAAACAAAGGGCCCTATCTTCAAAAGCAGTTTTATATAAAGCCTAAAAGACGTAACTAATCACTTGTAAATACAAATTGTAAATTGTCAAAATAACTGAGAGATTTACCGTTGAAACTAAACTTTCCATTTTAAATAGTTTTTTGCTTCTTCTGTAGAATTTAAAAAATGTTAAATAGCGATTTATGCGTTTTATGTGACGATATATGTATAAAAACAAATTATATTGTTTCTATCATATAACTAACTAAATTGTTATTTTTGTATAGTGAAAGATTTCTATATTTGACTGTATTATTGAACAAAATATGTATATTGAAATTGAAATTTTTTGTGTAAAAATATTTGCTACTTTTTTATTACTGAGACCACCTTTTTTGAGTACGGAGCCAAATAAATATACCTTGCCTCGGGAACCTTTTTTGGAAAATTTTATTAAAAACTTTTGTAATTAAATTGTGGACGTATTTTGACACCTACAAAATTTCGCTCTCATGGATAATATTGACTAAAAAAGGTAAATTTTTTAATAAATTTTTGGTCTAAACAAACAAATTTAAGATCCAAAATGTTTTAAATACTTTAATCACTGCATTACATATAATTATTTTTATCGAAAATTAAAAATGTACCATTGACTTCCTTATGGATTTTTACTTATAGATCTTTCGTTTTTTGTTTCTAGACTTATTGTAAAAGAAAATTTAAAGAGTACCATTGAGAAAAAAGTACTTTCATATAGGTTTTAATTCACGTAGGACCGTTTATTATGTTGTAGAAATCTCAAAAAGAGATATTATAGAAAACTCAGAAAGTACCAGTTAAAGAATAACAAGTAAGAGTGCTATATTCGGCTGTGCTATATTCGGCTGTGCTATATTCGGCTGTGCCGAATCTTATATATCCTTCACCATAGTGTATTTAAAAATTAATTTTCCAGACTATATCATTATTATAGCAATAGCAAAACATAATGAACAACAACAACGCTAAACGAAATAAACACACAAAAAACAAGTAAAAGTGTTATATTCGGCTGTGCCGAATCTTATGAAACCAACAGACATCCAAACAAACGAAACCAACACCAAGAAACAAAAACAATATACACAATCTTATGAAACCAACAGACATCCAAACAAACGAAACCAACACCAAGAAACAAAAACAATATACACAAGACAATGAAACACATAGCCATCCAAACCTACAAAACTGAATACACCAAGAAACAAAAACAACATACACATGGCAATGAAACAAACAGCCATCCAAACATACGAAACGAAATAATGGAAAAAACCAAATACACAACGCAATGAATAAGCAGCGTTGTTGTTGCTTATTTTTTATGAAATTTTCAGAGGTTGTCTCAGATTTTTGCTTATATCTCCGATGTTTATGGACGGATTTTGCTGATTTTAAATAGGAAACTTCTCGAAAGCATGTCTGATAGAATTATTGAAGATTTGGATCCCGAAGATATCTGGGGTCTTCAGAAAACTGATTTCAACAGACAGACAGGATTCAGAATATATATACTTTATAGGGTCGGAAAATTATATTTTGGAAATTACAAACGGAATAACAAACTTATATATAACCTTCTCACGAAGGTGAAGGGTATAAAAAGTACCAAAGTACCTTCATACACATTTCCTTTCATTCAGAACCCTGCATGCTAAATTTGATGTTTCTAAGACCAATATTATCGATAATCCAAAAAGGACCTTTAATGTTGAATTTTAAATTTTATTAAAAACTTTTGTAATTAAATTGTGGACGTATTTTGACAAATACAAAATTTCGCTCTCATGGATAATATTGACTAAAAAAGGTAAATTTTTTTAATAAATTTTTGGTCTAAACAATTGTTTATTTAAGCTCTACTTAACAGCATAACAATAAATAATATTTAAATTTAAGATCCAAAATGTTTTTTAACAAAAAAATACTTTAATCACTGCGTTACATATAATTATTTTTATAGAAAATTCAAAATGTACCATTGAGTTCCTTATGGATTTTTACTTATAGATCTTTCGTTTTTTTTTCTAGATTTAATGTAAAAGAAAATTTAAAGAGTACCATTGAGAAAAAAGTACTTTCATATAGGTTTTAATTCACGAAGGACCGTTTATTATATTGTAGAAATTTCAAAAAAAATTATTATAGAAAATTCAGAAAGTACCAGTTAAACAATAAAAAGTACCAAAGTACCTTTCATACACATTTCCTTTCATTCAGAACCCTGCATGCTAAATTTGATGTTTCTAAGACCAATATTATCGATAATCCAAAAAGGACCTTTAATGTTTATTTAATATTTTTGGGAATAATTACTTTAAAAATCTCCAAAATTACCGGCTGAGGAAGGAAAAGTAAAAATATTCTCTTTGTGCAGATTTCCATTCAACTGGAACTCTGCGTGTTTAATTTTATGCCTCTAAGTCCAATTATATAGAAAAATCAGAAAGTAGAGCGAAAAAGTACCAAAAGTCCCTTCCTATAGATTTCCATTCACTCCATATTTTATGTTTCTACGAAAACGAAACAAAAAGGAACCAAAAAACACTTATTTTTTAATTTATATTTCAATATTATAGAAAACTCAAAAAGTACCAGCTGAAGAACATTCATACAGATTTCCATGAACAGAACCCTGCGTGTTTAATTTTATGTTTCTGACCAATATTATTGAAAAGCTAAAAAAACACCCTTTGAAAAACTACAAAGTACCCAAAAAGTCCTCTTATATTATAGAAAACATAAAAGGTATTCGTTGAAGAACGAAAAAGTACTAAAAGATCGCATTTAGATACTCACACACTGTGGACCCTTCATGTTCAATTTCATGTTTCTAGGTTCAATATTATAGAAAATTCAAAAAGTACCTTTTGAAGAACACTTTATCGTTCCATGTTGTATATTCTCATTAAACGTTTAATTAATACCAGTAAAAGATCGAAAAAGTAACCAAAAGTCTCATATTATAAATTGTCATTCACTCAGGGCTGTATGTTTAATTTTATGTTCAAGGTCTAATATTAAAAATTTTTAAATATACAGTGCTTAAATTTTTAGATCATAGATAGAAATGAAAAATGTCTAAAATCTGCTTTTAATTTCTCAAAAAACATGTTTCAAAAAGTATTAAACTATTTTTAAAATTTGGTCTTATATTGGCCTTGTTATAAAATGCCATTATCTTATTTCGAGTGACTAAATTAATTAAGTATGAATATAAATAAGTTTTCCGATTTTTCCATTTTTTTTTTTTGGTACATATTTAAGTAAAAGAAATTGTATTCCAAATATTGTAGTGAGAGCCCGTAATTATATAAATATACATATACTAGCTAAACCCAGTGTGCTTCGCTACCCTCAAAACAATATACATAAATAAAAACCCTTTACCAACATGTTCATTTTGATACTAAAAGTACATGCACAATGTTGAGGAGACCTACCTGCTGTAGTTTCCCATATATACGAACTTGAGTGTTTAATTCATATAGGAGATGCAACGTCC